GAATTCATGAAGCTCTTTCTAGCATCACATTTTGATCAAATCTGGGGTTTTCCCTATCATTTTTCTTTATTGTCCAGTTTTCTCATCCATATATAGTGCTTGAGAATATCATGGTATGGATGATTGTGGCCTTCGTCTCTAGTGATACATCCCAACACTGAAATATATTTTGTAGGTCTTTCATAACTATCCTTCCAAATCTTAAATATTCCAATTTCTGGCCTGCAGTCTACATTTTGATTGATGATTAAACCAAGGTATAGAAAATTCTTATCAATTCAGTTTCTTCATTGACAACATTAAAGTCTTGTGATCCTTCTGTAAACATTATTGTTGTATTCTTAATGTTCAACTGTAATCTTGCTTTGGTTTATCCTTCTTTAAACTTCATCAAGGGTCATTTCCACTCATTGCTATCTTCTGAAATAATATGGTGTCATTTGACATTTCCTGTTAGCCCTGCTAGCATGGCCAATGACCAGCAATGTTGGTAATTTTACAACATATAACAACATTGACAACATGGAAATCAACAGGATTCCTATTCCTAGTTTAAGTGAAGTTAAGTTTCAAGGCAATGTATCTCAAGCCATCCATAGAATTTAAGAATTCTGTGCAATGAAGAGGACTAAGCCCATTCCTTTCACTGGGCAGGCATCACTACAGGACTGGGTTGCTGTAGTATGCAAACTGAGTGTCCCATTGAATTCACTGGGCTGACTTCTGAACAAACATGAATAGGATTGGAGCTTTTGAACAGCACTTTTTTGGATCTCCTAGAACAGTGGTTCTTAACCTTTGTTACTCGGATGTTTTTGAACTGCAACTCCCAGAAACCCCAGCCAGCACAGTTGGTGGTGAAGGCTTCTGGGAGTTGCAGTCCAAAACTCCTGAGTAACCCAAGGTTAAGAACCAGTGTCCTAGAATCTCTCAGCTGGTGTTACCAAGCTGTGTGTAGGATCAGAAGAGGACCAAAGCCTTCTTCATTCTCCCACATAGATGCTACACACAATGGTGCGTATTCAGTGAATTCTGTACTTTGTTATAACTCAACACAAGTTCTGAAGATGAACAGCCTGAAAGTCTGAAAGGGAGAAGAACATTAGACTTTTATCCAGCTGCTATCATACGGCAACCAAAGACATCTGTGGGATAAAATCATCACACCCCCACATATACCTGCAGCATTTTCCTACTAGCTGTTATGAAACATGGATAACTGAACGTTTGTTCATTTGTTCCTCCTGCTACTTATTTTTCTTTCCATTTCCATGCCAGTTTTCCAGTAATAATTAGCGTTCAGGGTGGCTTGTGTGTGTGTGATGTGCTGTCAAGTCAGAACCAACATATAACAGGGATGTTGGCAAGTCTTTGGGTCCAAGTTCCAACTCTGAATCCAAATCTTTGGTACCGAGTCCCGAGCCTGAAGCCCCATGTCTGAGTCCCTATTCAAAATAAGCTATTTTCCCCAGAAAAAAAAAGAGAGGGGATTGGATTCTAAGTCACAAGTTGAATCCAAGTCATGGGGGAGGGGACCAAGTTGAGTCTATGTTGAGTCACCAGTGTGTTTTAAATCCAACTGGACAGCGAGTCTCACAACTCAAGTCCCCATTCCTGACTTATAGTGACCCTAACAGGGCTTCCAAACTAAGTGAGATATTTAGAGTGGCCTCGACTTACAGTGACCCTAACAGGGCTTCCAAACTGAGATATTTAAAGAGTGGCCTCACCAGTTTCACACCCCATTGAGCTTCAGTGGCTGAGCAGGGATTTGAACCCTTGTATCTTAGCCCATTGTGGCTGAGCAGGGATTTGAACCCCTGAATCTTAGCCCATTACTCCATACACTATACCACAATGGGTATCCTAAGGTAGCTTATAAACTTAAAAGAATAAAAATGGATAAAAATCACATCTAGCTAAAAAATAATAAAATCATAGAAACCTATTTTAGCTTCCTCCACTGCATTTAGGTATTATGAACAAAGGCTATTTATTTTTATTTTATTTTTTTGCATACAAGTCATCCCGAAGCTGTGTTCTTAAGTTTCTTACTTAAGAAGCTCAAGGATGTTATTTAAGAAGCTCAAGGATGTACAGGTGAATCTGATCTGCAGGCTTCAGTCCTGGCAACAGGCGAAAAGAGGATGTGGTTAGAAAAGGGATCACTTAATAGCTTTTCTGCCTGGAAGGAGCTGACAGTCACCACCCTTGAAATGATCTGTTTGCTTCCTTCTGTAGCAAGTGGTTTCCTGCTTCCTCTCTTCTGTTGTGTCTTCCTGGCACTCCAGCCACAGATCACTGGGAGAGGAATGGCATTTTCCCAAGACAGATAAAGGCCTGCAAAGGGAGGGGGGCAGAGGAACCCTTCCACTTCAAGGCGGTGTCCTAACAATCACATTTCCTGCCCTTTGATTTCACCCTGACAAATGCTTGTGCAGCAAAGCCATTCGAATGAAATGAAACTGGATTCACTGGAGGAGCCTGCAAATGAAGCAGCAGCAGGGCTTCTCTGGAAAAGAATGTCAGGGCTATAGAAACAAAGACCCTGAGCAGCTGTCTTCACCTTTAACATGCTGTCAAAAGCACATCCTTCCAGCCCAAGTGTCACTCAGCTGAGTCATCAGCATAAGAAGTGCCCGGGAAAGAGTGAGGGACAAGAAAGGTGGAATCCATCTGGAAGGAGGTAGTAAGATCCCCATTGAAATACTTTTTGCTAGGTTTAGAGATTTTACAAAGGCAAAGTTCAGTGATAAACTGGAAGGTGCTACCTACCTCCACATCAAACTCCATCACAATTACTTTCAATAAAAAATAATAGAGGTTTTTTATGTTAAGTGCTGTCAAGCTGCATCCAACTTACACTTATTATATTCATTCATTCAATTAGTATCCCACTCCCATTAGCTCACAGCACTACTCTGGGCAGGTTACAACCCGTAAAATAGTAAAAAATAAAAATAGAAATATTAAAAGCAGCACCCTGTTTCTCTCAAATTAAGACCTAACCTAAAAATAAGCCCTAGTATGATTTTTCATAATATAAGCCCTACCCCAAAAGTAAGCCCTAGTTAAGTGAAAGCCCACCCTCCACCCTTGTGCAGCAACCAGAAGATGACATGACTGTATTTGAATAAATTGTCGTATATGGAAAAAAATAAAACATCCCCTGAAAATAAGCTCTAATGCAAGGTTTTTTTGGAGCAAGAATTAATATAAGACCATGTCTTATTTTCGGGAAAACACGGTAGCAATAATTCTTAAAAAAACCAGATGGCACTGACTAATACCAGAGTGGGGTCTTATTTTCGGGGAAACACGGTAGCAATAATTCTTAAAAAAAACAGATGGCACTGACTAATACCAGAGTGGATGGAGGAAAAGAGGAGCGGGAAGAAGAGGAGGGGAAAGAAAAAAAGAGGGGGAGGGGGAAAGGAGGGAACCTGATAGCTGGGCTTGGCGCAGAAAGCAATCTTATAGCAATCCTAATAGAGTTTTCAAGGTACAAGATGTATTTAAGGAGCAGTTTTATCACTGCCAGTTGGCTAGATAGCTCAGTGGTTTAGGTATCTATCTGTGGAGTCAGAGGTTGGGAGTTCAATTCCCCTCTGGGCCTCATGTGAGCGGAGCCAGCTTATGTGGCCTTGGGAATGGAAAATCCCTACAGTACTGAGTACTCTCTACCTAGGAAATGTTGGAAAGGGTCATCGTAAGTCAGAATTGACTTGACGGCAGATGATTATTATTTATCACTGCCGCACACACCCCTCAGTAAGTCACCATGGTTGAATGGGGACTCAACCCCAGGTCTCTTGATTCCCAGCCCATCACTCTTATCTGCTACACCACGCTGGGGACAAATTAGCTGGTTAAACTATATTCTGTCTCGGTAACACAACAGCAGAAGAGAGGTTAAGAATTCAAAATTGTAACAAAGCACAGGGTCCCTGAAGGCCTCAGAAGAAGCTGTACTTCTACAGCTGCTATATTTTTCCAAGTTAACAAGAGGTCTTCTCACCTTAAAGAAAAACAGAAAAAGATTTGCACCATAATACACTTCTAAATTCTATTATGGCATAACAGGTTGTTGGTTCATTTTTAAGAACATATAAGGCAATTTTGTTACAGTAGGCTAGCCCTTTAAAAACCTGATCTCCAAAATAGTAAATCTGTGACCCAATGTACACACCTTATAAGTTACTTATAATAGCAGGACGTAACGAGAGCCCCCATTTATAAGGCACCCTTAAGTTCTCTAAAACTCTAAACATGTGTGATAGCATCCTGTAAGAGCCTCAAATTACAGCCCCAGTGGAACATAAAGCTATGAGGAGTGTTTAAATGTGTCCATAGTCTCTAAACCACAATTGACACAGATAAGAGTGATTATGAGTCAAGCCGCAACTTCCAGTGCTCCTATACTCGAATGTGAGCTAGCAGAAATGATGCTTCAGTCTAAATGTTCGAAAATGTTCATTTGTACTGTCTCATGATTCCTCTTGGTTTACCAGACTTGATAGGGATTCTTGAACTGACTTAAGTTTTAAAGGACAGCCTCAATTGTAAAGTTTCTACTATGAATAAAGAGCAGCTTCGATTAAGAAATATTCTTCCTTAGTCTTGGAAATTTATGGAATCTTTGCACAATCCTACAAAAGTGTAGGACAGGCTGGGAATTGCTGTTGTCAGGTGTAACACCTGTGGCAGAGATGCCTTTAAACCTGCTCATCCCAGTTTTTGTCAGATTTTACTATATTATCCTGGCACACTTAGGAGTTCTAGTACTCCTCCCCGCTGTTATAATCAAAACTAAAAAGTGTAATGAGCTTTAGTTAGAATTTTCCTAGCATGCAAATGTAACTCTGCGTATTTGCAATTCCCACGTTCCTACTTACATGCTCATGAGGTAACATGAGAATCAATACTGTTTTACTGGTAGCATACATTATGGTTCCAGTTATCCCAACAATTGGAAGAACTATCAGGTATCAAGTATATTTAAAAAGGAATTTTATTTTGATTTCAAAAAGGTAATAAAACCAGTGTGTACAACATGTCACAATAGACTAAGATCATGCAGCACTCCAGGAAAAATTAAAATCCTGTATCGTGTACAATTAAGTGCCACACCCGAGAATTTACAGACACAGTAATTTACTGCAATTAGTCATTTGAAAAAAAATAGTTCCCTAAAGAAACATGCCTCATACTCCAGTTACAGAGACGGGAGGTTGCTGGAGTACTTTGGTGTAAACTCTGCAATGGGTTAGTCCTTGGAGGTGAATTTGCATATAAAATGTCCCACACCTCATTACAGTCTCTCAAGTTCATCAGGTTTTGCAAAAGGCTTCAGCAGCTAATGTCTCTGGCAGGTATGTAACCTGGATGAGTTGTTGTTTGTGTGATCTTTCTGAAGGCGACAAGTCAATCCATCCCCACAGTTACATCGCTGGAAGATCTCTAAGCCGTGAGCACCTTTCTTGCGGTGTTTCGTGCACACCTGGCCTTCCTTGAGGACAGGTTTGCAGATCTTTGACCAGAAGTGACGGGCACAGCACAGCCCTTCAGCGCAGTCTGAGGAGCGGAGGCACACAGCACCTTCTTGCCCTTAGGAAAGAAGAAAAGAGAGTTGAGGAGATTACGTATTTCCTTGTCCCCAGTCCTATTCCTTTTTTTCCCTCGAGTGACGGTGTAAGAAAGGAAGACTCAGCCAATGGTTTTTCAGAATATTTCTCCTGAGAAACAGCCTCATCTTTACTACCACATTCTAGAAGAATACACAGAATCTGTAAATAAGAGTACCTGATTCATGCAAAAGACTGGTAGGACCCAGAAGTCCTGGACAGGGTAACACAAAGCCAAGTGTGCCCTTCACAGCTATCTGTAACGCGCAGGACTTGTTGTGTCAAATGCTTGGAGTGCCTTCGCAAAGAGGCTAAATGTTGCGTATAGGGAAAAGGTATGTCGTATTGAATTGAACAAGCAATGCATGGTGCTACTCAAGAGTAGGTGGCATGAGCACACCACTCATTACAAACACAACCTTGTTGGAAAGGCACACCCACCAACTGCTTGGGTGTCCAAATACTGTAGCAGAAATATGGGAATATTTCCAAGGAGCTAACATACAGCTAAATGAACTCTTAAGCATGACTTAACCATCGGCAGTGAAACTGATACTATTATTGCTTCATAAGCCCTTCCTGCATAATCTAAGGCTAGCTGCTCCACAGGCATCTGCACCAGTTGAGACCTACCATGCTTTTTCAGCTCTCAACAACTGAACCACAAAAAAAGTCTCCCTACCCCATTTTTAAAAACACAGCTGTTTCCTGTTACCTTTCAAATGGTGCAGCCGAGAGGAAGATGTTGTCCTTTTAGGGTGGAAGTCTGTGGCACCATGATCAAAATTCTCCATAATGTTCTCTTCAATCTCTCCAAGATAAAAATGATCATGTTCCAGAGGTACACACATTCCTAATTTGGGAGGGGGGAGAGAGACACAACAAACACACATGAACATATTTTAACAATATGCCAAGATAACACTTAAAGATAACACTTTCCAAGCTCTGTTGATTTATAGCCTGTATTTACTGCAAACCTGTATTCTATCAAAGGTTTGTGCCTCTTGTCTGGACTTTTTTTTTATTTGTGACACTGTTAAAAGTCACTTGAGAATGTTTTGAGGCTTCTCCTAATTCTGCACTCTTCCACCTGAATGCTCGCCACCTACAACTCAAGCTGACACCCATAAAGAGAAAGCCAGGGTAGAGAAGATGACTTAAGGACTCCCAGATTTCTTTCAAAAGCTGAATTTGAAACCAAGATCCATTCTTAATCCAACTACAGTGAGAAACCCTTGAATGGAAAGACAGAAGCTCCCAAATTCTACTGTCCCCTGTGTCCAATTAAGAGGATCAGGCCAAGACCTCTCCTAAAATCCTAGACAGCCACCGCCCTTGGGCGCTAGCAAGACACAACAGAGTGGCTGCCACTTCCTTAAACACGACACTATCACCTATTTCTATCATTCCAGAAGCAGCATAGGGCACCTTTCTAAAGAGACACAACCTCCCCTTCGCTCCTGACTTTGCTACAGAGAGAAAGAGGGCAGGCAAAGGGGTATCCAGATGATAAGAGCAGGTGGCCAGGCAGACTTTGCTTTCTTCTGGCTCCCGAGAATCTCCCTTTAGGACTGCAGCCTGCTTTTCTTTCTCAGTTCCTGCCGGGGGTCCCTTGAACCTTCCTTAGCAGGAGCACGTGAAACAAAAAGAGGCAGCGGCGCAGAAAACTTCCCCAGCCCCAAAGTATGTGTGTGGGGGGACTTCACCTCCCCCGGAGAG